ACTCGTATGAGAGAAAATGATAAGAGACCAAAGAGACTTAAATCAAGGGCGCTGATCAAGGAAAATAGTATTCAAACCTCTTTCAGATCATCGTGTTTTGGAATTGTTTTTCTTTTTTTTTCTTCTTTTTTTTATCCCCCTGCTACTTAATAGCATTGCGTTTATCTAATATTTAAAAATATTTGATAAACGCAATGTAAGTTATGCTATTCCTGGCACTAGAGACTTTCAAGGAAAACTTCGATCTATATTCCGGAAGAAGGGCTCAAACATGGGTCAGCATCCAGAGTAATCAAGCACATCCCACACATTATTTCATAGAATATTTTCGTCTGAACATAGAAAATGTTCATGGCATTCAGCATTGGAATACAAGTCTACCTTACTACGCTGCTCAGCTAAGGAAAAACGCCGTATAAACCTTCAGTTGTTGCTAACTTTCCTTTGCTTCGACACAACTTTCCCGGATAACTTATGAATATTTTTCTTCTAATTTTTCAGTTAGTCTATATGCAATTTCACACCGAGTTTCTGAAAATTTAAAGGAAAAAAATTCATACATTTCCTCAAAAATAAACATTTTAATGAAGGAAATTTGGCAACTCTCGAATGTCCATACGGCGTTTTTCCTTGGCACGGCAGTGCGAAGTCATGATTCTCTGGCCTAAGGATCTATATTCGATCCAAAAATGGTTATACCTTTAACAATAAATTTCCAAACTCGTGAATCCAATTTTTTCTAGGTGCCTGTGATTACAATCATAATAAGGCAGTGAAGACGCGGTTCTTCACGCTATTATACGAACGCGACCATCAAATATTTTTCCAGGAATTCGGTTACGCAAGTTCAGCGGCTACTCTCTGATCTGGACTCATGGTTTCGGGTGCACAAAACAACGCATAGCAACGGGCCTTTGCTAAGGGGATAGGTGCTTTTACCGACCGATTGGCGTCGGCGTGGCCGTGTTCGTACGAAGAGGTGCACGTGTTGAGCGCGCATCCTTGAGGCCGGCCCAAAATGATTAACGAATAATAAGCTGGCCTCTATCATTTCTGATAGCCATCTCGATCGGCACTCGATTATCGATCTGGCGGCTCCACCTATCAGAGGCGTGGAAATTACACGTCATGTCAAATGAACGTATTTAAAATAAATTTTAAAAAAAACCTATCTCCATCATCACGTGGGCCCTTTTGTGCATGTATACCTATGGATACAAGACCCAGGTCAGAATGGATGTAGTTCTTATTAATTTAAATACGTCCAAGTCAGAGGCGAAAATTACGCTAATGAGCGGTGGGTTGTGCGTTGCGTTGAGACAATCGCAATCCGAAAAATTCCGCTTTTAAGCCAAACGCCTCGTTCCGGTCGACTCATAAATTGCTGAACGTAGAAGAGATATTGCATCTATTTTATCTGACATCTTATCAAAGCTGTCTCGACGACCCAAAGTCGGTCACTAAAAACTGACTCCTGAAAAGGCTCATCATAGTTCAGGAGAGTTCATGATTTTTCAATGCGTGATATTGCGGCTGGATTGCCTCTCGTCACGTATTTTTTCATGAAAAATTTCCACATTTTCCCCAATTTTCACATGAAAAGTCTCAGCTTGAGTTCGAGACTCGTTGCGACGATGCAGCGTTGCAAAGTTTACGTTTAACCGCTGAAAAACGCTAGTATTTTAAAAGTTCTTCGGTTGAAAAAACAGCTTTATAGTTAGTCTCTATTTTTGTTTTACGACACGATAACATCAATTGATAATACTGCGCCTCAGAAAATAAAAAAATTACCAACTAGCGCATTCGAGAAATTCCAAATTATTAGCATTTTTCAAAGGTAGAAAATGTAAACTTTGCGCCGCTAAACTGCTAAAAAGAACTTCGAACTCAAGCTAAAACTCTTACTCAGGGACTATCTCATCATAAAGATTCGTTTAAGTCACATTTCATTAAAATCTCTGAGTTCCCCAAAAAGGGGACACTTTTTTGACAGACTTTACAGGGCCGACATCGGAGACTTAAAGTTTTCAAGTACGACTCGGGAAGCGTTCTCTGCGGATTTGGCCGCTTGCCGGCCAAGAGGCGTACCCCCAAACAGTATTGTAACTCCAAGTTGATTCTGAAAAATTTCCATAGGTGCATCAAAAATGATTTGCATTGAGTCTTGAGGAGCGTGTTCAATTATTCTGAAATCCCTGCCCCGACTTGTATTCAAATACAACTCCTCCTTTTGGATGAGAACCGTCTAGACCCGCGATGAACGAGTGGTAAAATCAGCAAGGTTGCAAAAGGTCTAATTAGAGGTTGAAGCAAGGCCGTTGGAGGAGGCAGCCAGGAAGCAGGCACGCCGCCGCCGCAGGTGATGGAGACCAGGGGTGCAGGAAGTGCCCGGTTGTGACTGCCCGTCGTGAAACCATCGATAACCGATCGTCGAATTCTGGAGCAGCGCATTTCAGCCGCGGTGGAAGACCCGATTCCCATTGTTGACAATAGTCGGAGCGAAATTGCTATTTTCCGCGAGGAAAGTTCAGGCTCCCCATCGGTGACTGTCCTGCGGGTCGATTATTGAAATTGATAGACAAAGCTATAGACAAAGAAGACAAAAGGGATTTGGAGGGATCCTATTTGTGGAAGCGGGTGGTTGCAATGGACAAACGACGTGGGTGATAGACTAACTAACGGCAACCCACGAGAGACCCGATAATTAGTCCATCATTTTCTCCCTTAGTCTATAAGAGCCACCCGTTTCCACCTATAGGATCGCTTCTTACTCTCAATGTCTTCTTTGTCTATACCTTTGTCTATCAATTTCAATAATCAGCCCGCTGATGTGTTACTAAAACAACAGAGGATATTTTCTACGTTGGTAACACTGTCCATTTAAATCCGTATACAATATCGATTTTAGGTGAGGCAATCTAATAAGTTGCCTCACCAATTATCGATTGTTTTACATGCATTTAAATGGAGGAAAAACACTGCCAACTTTCAAGAATCGCCATTACTGTGAAGTCTGAGCGGGAAAATTTGTTAAATGAATCCCCCGATCTCCGTAAACACTTTCCAAAATCCATGGTTTTTCATGAAGCTTGAGCTTTTCTCGTACGATGGGCACCCAAATGAATGTTTTTTGCCTTAATGGGAAAACTATTTCGGGTGCTAAATTACTGATTACTTTAAACGGAAAAATTATATCAATTTTTAGAAAAATTAAGTACACTGGAAATAAAAACACATTGGATCTAGAGTCCAGACTCTTGAAAACATTGACAAGAAAAGAACTCTTGATTCAATCAGATTTAAGCTTAGATCAAAAGGAAATCCGCTCAAATTAAGAGGCTTGGTTCTTGATTTAAGCTTAAATCTGATTGAATCAAGAGTCCTTTTTCTTGTCGATGTTTTTAAGAGTCTGGACTCTAGATCCAATGTGTTTTTTTCCAGTGTATGTAAAGCAAGCTATTATTAACAGGACAGCTCCATGATCCATTTGTTTTCTTTGTCTATAGCTTTGTCTATCAATCTCAATAATCATACAGCTGCTCAACAAAGTTATAAGTCTAAATTACCAATGTCACTCGTTCAGGTAGCTGCATTATTGACATAGGTTACCTATTGTCCACTGATGCGTATAGTATAGCAAACCGGTGCCATTATGCGTATCTCTGGAGACTTAAACGCTGAGTAAAGAAAGTAAGCGAAAATTGTACAGTTCCTCGTGCTCTGTATCAGCCGTTCTTTTCGGTTACTGTAGCTGTGTTCTCGGTTCTAGGACCCGTATCTTCGGTTCATGTATACAAGTATTTTTGTAAAATTCGATTTGGCTTGAAATCTCGGTTGCATGAACCGAGGCTACAGTTCTTGGAACCGGAAGCACAGTTACGAATACCAAGTAGTACGGCCAACATAGAGGACCGTGCTTATGGTTTAAGAGTCCGATTTTTTTTCTCGAAGCGGAAAGATCGAGTGAAAAGTTGGAGGTTGGGTTGTCCCCCGAAAAATTGCCCAGGGAGGTCTAATACTGTGGTTCCGGTCGATTTTACCAATGATTTGGGCGATTAACCAAAATTCTTTGGCTTATCCGACGGGAAAAAAGTAACTTAAAGTAACCATGAACACCATTAGTAGTTGAAATTTTGGTGTGTTTTCTTAATCTCAACGGTGCTCATTTTTTTCGGGGAACTTAATATTTGCTTACGTAAAGAGCAGCCGATCGCTTCTCTCATACGAGCATTTCAGAGATTTACCACTTGTTTCTACGGTCTTGATTGTCATCTCATTTTAGACTTTTTGAACTTTAACCAGGGTTGTCACAGAATTTGGAGATTGAAATTCTCTGGCATTTCCCTGATTTCCCCGACACATTCTGGTGAAATTCCCTGACAATTGAAGATATGGCAGGTGGTTAAGAAGACATAATTGAAAATATTTTTCAGGCAAAATTTGTTGTTCGAAACCTCAAACCCAATCTAGAAAGCAATTAAATGTGATGTTACAAATTTATCCTGACATATTCGTCATTTTCTCTGATTTTTTTCAAATTTCCTTAACTTTTTATAATTCCCTGACATTTCCCGGTTTTCCCTAACTTTTTAAAATTCCGGGACATTCCCCCGTTCTCCATAAATTTATAAATTCCCTGGCATATTCTGGTTTTCCCTAACTTTTTACAATTCCCTGACATTTCCTGGTTTTCCCAAAATTTTTTAAAAACCCTGAAATTTCCCGGTTTTTCCTGACTGTGGCAACCCTGACTTCAACCCTTTCTGGGTGTGAAATTTTCACGAGAAAACATCAGTAATGTTTTTCTTTGCTAATTTTCACCCTGTCAAGTGGTCCATTCAGCATCCCGGAAAGCAAGAACCGTGATCGAAATGTGAACGCTCGAAAAACGGACGGAATGAACTAGCCGCGACGGGCCGACGGTCAGCGCAGGGTCACAAGGGCGTGACGCGGGCGACGGGCGTCCAGATACATTCCTCTTTTGCACCCATCGTCATCGTCATCGTCCGATTCCTCCTTTTTTTTCCTCACCTCGGCCGGCGCCTCGTCCGAGCGCCGTTTCATATAAAAGCTCGCCCTGATCTGATTCCCATTACATTCGATACCATTCGTCAAGTCAGTACAATGGCATTCAAGGTAAGCTCCCGCTAGTGTCTTCCACTTGGTGTACTTGTGCTACGTTCATGTGTGCTTCGATGTGCGGCCAGTGTTCTCATGTTCCATGGAGGATTATACGTCGAAACTCCGCGAATTGATTTGTGTTAACAGTGTACGTGGTGGTGATAAAGCCGATGGTTGTCAAAGTGCTAGTCGGATTTTCGGGAAACTGGACTTACGAATCTTTTCAATTCCTTCGCCTCCCCCGACTTATACTCTTTCTAGTCTTCCAAACTAAGTCTAAACTAGTCTTTTAATCTTCGTTCAAAATTTTGGGTTCGGGTTTATTTTAGAATAAAAGTAAATGTCTGTGTAAGGAAAATGATCCATAAGTTCTAAGGCAACATTTCAAATTTGAAAAGACACATTTCAAAATAAATTTGAGATTTAATAAATGAATCTAATAAACATTTGCATTAACATTTTTTAAAAATTCCCGGTGGTTTAGGAGAAAAGTTATGGTGGGAAAAAAAAGAAAAAAAAGCTCGTTAGATTTTCTATTTGCTCCTTCTCGATCATTCAAAACGACTTTTAAAATTAATCTGTCAATTCATTAGGTATTGATTCAAACTTATATGGGGCAACTTACTCATCTCGTAAACATTGAAAATTCCAAAAAAATCAATCATCAAACGAAGAAATTAAACAAGTTTCAAAAATTTAAAAAAATAAAATTTTCAAATTTTGAATTTATGTTTCTTTTTTGGGAGACTGTGATTCATGTAAAACATTAGAAAAACAATAATAGCTTCAGTAAAAATACATTGAAAAATTAAAACTTATTGCGGGAAAATCATACTGAACAGTAAAGTATCAAAGTGGCAATTTAATACCAAAACTTTAGAAAATCGGTAAATCGTTAATATAAATTTCAAAAATTGTATTCGGTACCTGAATAAACGAATTCTCCTAGAAAACGCGCGCTACGTGTGAAAAGAGAGATCTAAAACACACTTAAAAAGAGCAAAAAGCGGCCTTTTGTTACTACAATTCTCCGTGTAACAGAGCTATACTTCAATTAAAGCTGTAAGACACAAAACAGATCAAATTAAAGTATAGAACAAAGTCATTTTTAAGCCTTAATCAGATCCTTTCATTGTATACAAAAACAAAGAGCAGTTTTGAAAAATTTTTATAAAAAAGAGAGGTTCTTTTAAACGATTTCCAAAAAACAGTCCACTTGCAGTGATTTTACATGTTTTGAATCTACTTTTTTGCAGGCATTTTCCATTAGAAATGACACACAGTATGTGCAAAAATAACCGAAAATAACCTTCCTTTCCCAATACTAAGGGGGGAGCTACCCTTGGTTACGCGGCATTTCAAATTAAATCATTAAACTGAATGGGCAAGGGTGGCGTTTGGGGCTATCCGATTTTGTACAGATCATTTTCCCGATTCAAAATTGATTTTCCATCCTCTTTCTCCTTTGGCCTATGCTAAATTTTGTTGTTTAAAATGCAGATATTCTGTGTCTCACTGCTTTATTTTCTAGTTTTCTTCTCTAACAAACTAGGGGACTTCTTGAGAGGAGGATGAAAGAAATGTAGTTCTCAGCTTCATATATTGTATGCTCTGTTATTTAAAAAGTTCAACATTTATAAAAGAATACTTAGTTTGCGATAAATTTAGTATCAGAGAGAAACGAGACTTCAAAACTTTTTTCTTGGGGTTTTGACAAAAGTTAGTTCCTTTCTACTGAAGCGAGTCAAAAATAGACCTCTATGCTTATGATAACACCATAAGTTACTTTTCGACGGTTTCACCTTCTATATTAATATTTTTGGATAAAAATAGAGTTCGTTCAAATTTTAAGTTTCCAAGTTACTACACATATATAAAAAGTTTTGACGAATGTAAATGAGAAATTTTACCAAGGTCCGTTTTTCAGTAGAATACAAATCTTGCTCAATTTACTTGATTTTTTTCAATCACACCGAAGTTTCTGAAAATTGGTAAAAAATAAATATTGTACCTTAATAAGAAATACGATGACGATACTTTCTTAACCAGCAAGAGAAGCGAGGAACTAAAACGTCTACACCACCGTGGGCAAATCCAATTTTAAACCATCATCTTTTCTTATACGACCCTCTCAGACTTTAAAAACATTTTATTCTCCTCCATTTCCTTTTCAAAACCATCGACTATCTCACCACGCGCACTGCTTACAGTAATGTTCACATGCTCTTTTTCGCGATTTCACAGTGTCGTTAGTTCGACAACCAAAATACGGACGTTTATCGTGAAAAAACAAGGATAAACAAGAACGCTCGTTTTACATCAATTTGACTAATTTTTGAAAAGTATACAAAAGGGATTATGTATTTAAATTTTAATTTCAAACAATTTGTTTGGACAAAAATTTGATTTTCAATCACACTAGCAAACTAGAGATAAGTGTTAGAGGGCGACTAACTGTTAGTGTCATGGCTGACAGTTTAAATTTTCCAATCAATGAAGCATGTTTGTTCCATCATGTCAATAATTAAAAATCGAGTAGAAACCAGTCCGCAAAGAATGTTTCTTATCTTATGTTCCATCGAAAGTTAAGGGATATTAGCGATGAAACAGCGTTAGATGTATACAATTTCTACTACTACATTATTCGCCAAATGAATGAAATGGGAACTAAAAGTTTGTGAAATTCGTAGGATTCACCTATCTTTTAATTTTTTACCGCGTAATTTGGATGATCACGAATCATGATTCACAATTTCTTTTCGAAACTAATTTTCATTTACTGGTAGCAGCAATTTCATTGCAATTTACTAAACAAAAGTATCATCCTTGTTTGAAATCGACTTCTAAACACATTTTGCCTCTTTTCTCCAGGTTATCATCTTCGCTGCTTGCTTGGCTGCCGCCAATGCCGGTGTCATCGCACCAGCATACAGCGCGTACGCCGCCCCCGCCTACGCAGCCCCCTACGCCGCTCCGGCTTACTCCGCCTACGCTGCCGCCCCTGTGGTAGCTAAGGTAGCCGCCCCAGTTGCCTACTCCTCATACGCCGCTCCCGCCTACGCTGCCCCCGCCTACTCCACCTACGCCGCCCACGCTCCCGTCGTCGCTAAGGTAAGATATACATTCTATTACGTACATACATATCTACATCTCTCTTTACGTTTCTTAAAAGCTCGGGGTAGTTTGGACAAAGCGAATTTTTAAAAATGATGGTATGCTAAATAATTTAAGGGGGTATTCCCAGATGATGATTCAGCAAACTTCAGATGGATTGGGCAAAAAAGAACCAATAAGAGAGGTCGTTTTTCATTCTAGAGGTAAAAATTCCGTCACTTGTACCCAGTTTAATTTTAATTCTGATCCATCGGAAGTTCAATGGCGAAGTGCGAAAAAATTACGCACCTCCGTTTGCAAAGTTGCACATATCCTATCATAATTTATTTTTCTTTGGGAAACTAGTCACCGTATTTTTTTTAAAAAACTACCGCATTTTCTTAAAAACTTCCGTAATTTTTCTTTTGTGTTGGCGGAAAACTCTGAATAAATCTCAAGCTATTAACTAAGCTTGTTTCCTTTGAAAAAATAAAACCGGAGCGGACATTTTGAAACATCACATAAAAGGTTTTTTTCTTTGATCATCAATATGTACAAATTAAAAACGCAATGAAACGGAAGACTCTACTTGAAAGACACAAAATCTATAAACGCTTAATAATACCGACAACCCTTTGTTCCAGGTCGCTGCCCCGGTCGCCTACGCCGCCCCCGCTTACTCCGCCTACGCTGCCCCCGCCTACGCCCACGCCCCCGTGGTCGCCAAGGTCGCCGCCCCGGTAGCCTACGCCGCCCCCGCCTACTCCACCTACGCCGCCGCCGCCCCCGTGGTCGCCAAGGTCGCCGCCCCAGTCTACGCAAAGGCCGCCGTCGTCGACGAATACGACGCCAACCCCCAATACAGCTTCGCCTACGACGTCAACGACTCTCTGACCGGTGACTCCAAGTCCCAGCACGAGACCCGATCTGGCGATGTTGTCCAGGGTAGCTACAGTTTGACCGAGCCCGACGGCAGCAGAAGGACCGTCGACTACACCGCCGACCCGCACAACGGTTTCAACGCCGTCGTCCACAAGGACACGCCCGCCGTCCACGCCGCCCCCGCCGTCGTAGCCGCCAAGGTCGCCCCCGTCGCCTATGCCGCCCCCCACTACTGATAACCTTGGAGTTCGGGCCACCCCTGAACTTGAAACGAATCTGGTCAAATCATCTCTCATTGTGTAAATTATTATTAATTTATTCACTGCCATTTCATCGAATAAAAGTTACCAAACCGATTTATTCTTCTTTTTTCAACGTACTCACAAAAATAGTATGGGTCTCTGGTAGAGGGGCTTATATCCGCCTGACCAAATTTTACAGGAAAGTCAAACAACTGAAAAAACTACTCGTCAAACGAAATTTCTGGACATTTTTGGAGTGTTCAACGGATGGATCAACGTCTGCTCGAAAGTTATGAAATATGTTTTTCCGTACCTATTTCGGGTAATTTGAGATGACAGGCTTGTGCCTTTTTTTCAAGAAAATACCGGCACACTTTCAAGCAGAAAGAGTAGATTCAAAGTGAGTTTTGAAAGTTCTATCATTCATTTTAGTTATTCAAGTAGAACTTGATGATATAACCTTTAGTAGAGGGCAAAATTTTAAGACATTGCAGTTTTTTCCTCAATAAAGAAAAGAAAATATTCTTAGAAAATTTGTACGTACCCTTTAAGAAGCCAAAAATGAAAAAAAATTGAAAATTTTCTACTTACGCTCTTCTAGCAGAAATCGATTACATTTCTAATCATGCAGGAAAAACGGCTCATGCAAAAACTAAGACTCAGCGGTGACAGTGTATCGATGACTTTTGAAAATTAGTGTCCTTCTTCACTATCACAAGTCTTTCACTTTAACACTTCCCCAGAACTAGACCACCTGTCTTTAGGGTATACACATAAAAGTCCATTTGATAAAGTTTGAGAAATTTAAATCTTTCTTAATGATCTCATTTTTTCTTTTTCGTGTCAACCTAGCCGTCTCAAATGACTTTTATCACCTTGTTGATACTTATCAAGATAAGGCGTTGATTTACATCTGAGTCATCTATGAGCGTCTGGCATAAGTCTCTTTTGCTGATACGTTTTATCAGTGCTCATTTCTCGGCAATGAACACACGTGTGCTGTGCTTTGTTTTTCTCGATGCATTCAGTTTCAGTAAATTAGCTTCGGCAAGATAAAAAGGCTATAGTACCAAATCTCGATGCATTCAGTTTCAGCAAATTAGCTTCGGCAAGATAAAAAGGCTATAGTACCAAAACTGCAGCATAAAGGTTCGTCACTTATAAAATTTCATTGGCCATTCTTTGATGTGACAAAGCCCCTCACCCCCTTTCAAAGAACTAAACACGGGGAAAGAAGAGCACATGGTTGTTGGATGGTATGAGCATTTCCAATTAATTGTGGTAGTGCCCCAATTAGTTTTGATAGTACCGTCATAATTGCGTTCCTAACCCAAATGTTGCAGTACTACCACAATTTAAGTTGCGGTGCTACCACAATGAATTGGAAATATCCAAATCATTCAACAAATTGGGGTGCCTTAACACTTTTTCCGTGAAAATTTCTAAACTTACAACAAGGTTTACATGCCTGCAGAAAAGAGACGTACAAAAACGTGATGCAGAGTCACTAGTCCCAGGTTACAATTTGCTGATATTGTATGTTTAATTTCCTGGGTTGAATTTCAATCCAATGCGTTTTAATATTGAAAGCGATGATTCTTACTTTAGTGGTTAGTGGGTTTTTTAGCTACATTTAAAGTGATCTTGCGACATTATCAATCATAGTGACATACTGCATGTTGTATAAGAATTGAAGGAATCTTCATTTTCAAAAAAATGAAAATTGTGCTCATACCTAAAGGTGTGAGCACAAATCGATCACAAATGTAATGTAAAGTTTTTTCAAAATCTTGAAAAGGAAAGCTGGTTTTCAGCTCATGAAAAAAAGCAGAGGGTCAAAAAATGTTATTACTCTATTTTTATATCACTTCTGTAAGGAACACATCTATATCCTTCATATCAAAGCAAGTCAGGAAACATATAACCTGAATATTGAAACATTGCTTTTAACCGTGCCAGTAGAAAAAACATATTTTCTCCAGGGGTTGGGGTGCAATATTACGTAACAAACAATGCAATTTCTAATTAGGAGGTAAGACAGGTATACAATGCAATGTCTAATTAAGAGGTAAGACAAGTATCATCGCAATAGCACTTTAAGAGATTTCGCTTTTATTTGTTGATTAATACTACAATATTTTCCAGGCGTCATTTAATTTGATCAGTATCCGGTTGACTGATTTTCATGTATGCACATCTAAAATGGTTTTCAAACATTTGACCTTTTGCCTGTTAGGTCATATATGGGCATTTGGAATTCAGAAATCGGTAAGCATCTTTAGTCTAGGTCATTTTAAATCAGATATCTCAGGCATCTGTGTGTGCTTCCCTCCTCCGCCCTCCTAAACTGCTTGCAATACGTGGCATTTTGAGTCAGAAGCCAAAATGCGAGATAAAATTGAAAAATCATTACAAATAAAACATTTTTCTTCCTTAAAGGTAAGGAAAAAAAGAAACTTGATAGATGATTCATTGCAACTTTTCCGGACTGACTAAATCCTCTCTACCACATTTCATTACAACTTCAATTTGGCCTGGATTATTTGTAAAAATAATCAACTGATTCGGATAAGTCTATTGAAAGTAAAACACAAAAAAATGGAAGACTTTGGTTGATTCTGGGTTTTTCTTTTTCTAGTTAGTTCATCAAATGTTTGGTTAGTGTTTTATTTCCTTCATTAATCGAAATGAACTCCAAGACACAGATATTTCTATCAGTTTAGTGCACTTAGAATTCATAAATTACTATTGCTCAAAACAATTGCATGGACGACCCCTTCACCAGAGAATTTGGAATCGGCGCTCATGTCATTGGGAAGGGGGGGGGGGATACGATCAATATTGTCCGTTTTCATTTCATTTGCGGCAAACTTCGAATGAATTCCAGAGTATTATGACTTGAAAATGCAATGGCACTCCTCCGATTTTCATAGGCAATACTAATCTATTGAAATTTCATTTCCACATTTTGGCGCTATAGGCTTTGGAAACAAAGTTTGTTTATTTAAAACTGAGAATAAATTTTCTCGATTTTTTAGGAACAAAGTATCATGCTCAAGAGCGAGGCTTATGAAGAGATCGTAAAATCGACAGCTTACATCGATAAAACCTCGTTTATTCGAGATTTATTTAACCTGCCGCAATATCTGGTGATCACAGGCCCTCAGGGTTTCTCGAAAACGACGAACCTGAACATGCTGAAATCATTCTTTGAACACGAGCTTGATGAGACCCATACTGCGAAGGACCCAAAAACCTCAAAAAAACTACAGACATTCAAAGATAAAAAAATATTCACCGATGAGAAAATTTTTTGGCAGTACTTCGCTAAGTACCCCGTCATCCACTTAGACCAAAGCGCTGTAACGACGAAAAACTTCGACGAGTTTTTGAAAAGCTTCGTTAAGCACTGTATAGACCCTCTAACGGAGAAATTCGGTTACTTATGGAATGATACCGACACCAAGATGAATGAAAAAGCCAAAAAAGGTTATCCATGGACGAAAGACGACCTCCAAGACTTCGGTGCAGAACTTGCAAGTCTTCTACATCATCATCACGGAACCAAACCTATACTTTTGATTGATGGGTACGATTCTCCTTCAGTCTCCGCCCTTCTGGACGCGGGTGTCTCTGAAAAAGACACCGAGGCTATCGTACAGTTCTTGAGTAGTTTTGTTGCCGAAATAATACAACATAACCACAACACTTTTCGTGCCGTTTTGACCGGGCGTTTGGCCCTGTCACTGATCCCAAAACTGAAATATCGTAAAATTTTCGAGTCCGAAAAATTGTCCTCTGCGTACGGCTTTCTAGAGGCCGACCTCAATGAGCTTGAAAAGCGATTCGCAATGGCGTCTCCTGATATGGAGCACACCAGAGCTTACTACAGAGGATATTGCGTGTATGAAAAACCAACAGAACGAATATACAGTTCTCAATCAATCATTTATTCACTGCTCAGTAGAACAGTAATTGAATATTGGTCGGGGGATGTCATCGATAAACTGAGGCCTCTCCTAGGGGCTGAACAGTGGGGGCCAGCGCTGGAAATGTGCATCCTGAAACGCTGTAAGATTACAGTGACAGGTCCCATGAAAAAAACCGATGTAATGCAGCTCAAAAAATCTCTGCTCTCCTCTAAAAAAGCAGACCCTGGCGGACAATTCTTGTTTCAGATTTTGGTGGAAACTGGTTATTTCACGGTGGAGGAAAAACAGGGGGTGTTGCACACTATCTCGGTGCCGAACGTTGAGGTGCAAACGGTTATGATGGACGAGTTCTACCGCGGTAGGTACTTGCACGAGCGGTATGGATTCACCGAAGAAGACGAAAAGCACTATTTGACGTCACTCGATAAGTTGAGCTCGGACGTAACCACACTGCATACCCTCGTGCGGTCTGTCCAGACGTTATTTCGAAATTTGGCACCCAAAGATGAGGTTTTCATGCAGGTTGTGTTGCTCCACCCACTTTTGAACTGCTCGGAATTCTCGACTTATCCCTTTGATAGGGACGATACTTCTATCTCAAGTTATGCTATTTTCGCCAAACGGTGGCGCGATCATGCAGGGATCCTTTTCGAAGCGAGGGCTGGTCCCAAGCTTGATCAACAAACTAAAAGGGATGTCTCAAATGTATTCGAACAATTTCCTGACTTGAAGGATACGGTTGATTTACGTTTGGTTGTGAGCGGGAAAAACGAGGTCTATGGTTTTTATAATTATACAACTTTTGGTGGAAGCTCCGTATGTGAACTTTGGCCACCGCAGAAGAAAGTCACTTGAGGTGATAGTACTGTATCCAGTTGAGGGCGTTGTGTCAAACTTGTGGGAGAGTTGGAGTTTAGTCTTTTAAGATAAAACGTATCTCTAGAAGCAATACGACGCTTAAAAGATGTTTTAAAATATATCTAAAAACGAAAAAAAATGTTTCAGGCACATCTCTTTAAAGCAGGGGAAAAATTAAGGCATCTAAAAATGACTTCAAAACGTCTCACCTCGTAAGTTATCGTGGCCCTTGTGTGTTTTAAGAATGTTTTGAAGTAATTTTTTTATGATTTTAAAAACATCTTCAAAAAATTGGAGTTTCTTTTCTGTATAAAAATAATTATAAGGTATTTTTTTATGCTTGAAAATTGTTAAAAATGGGGGTTCCCAAAAATCTGTGTCTCGTTAGTTGNAAATTTTGTTGTTTAAAATGCAGATATTCTGTGTCTCACTGCTTTATTTTCTAGTTTTCTCCTCTAACAAACTAGGGGACTTCTTGAGAGGAGGATGAAAGAAATGTAGTTCTCAGCTTCATATATTGTATGCTCTGTTATTTAAAAAGTTCAACATTTATAAAAGAATACTTAGTTTGCGATAAATTTAGTATCAGAGAGAAACGAGACTTCAAAACTTTTTTCTTGGGGTTTTGACAAAAGTTAGTTCCTTTCTACTGAAGCGAGTCAAAAATAGACCTCTATGCTTATGATAACACCATAAGTTACTTTTCGACGGTTTCACCTTCTATATTAATATTTTTGGATAAAAATAGAGTTCGTTCAAATTTTAAGTTTCCAAGTTACTACACATATATAAAAAGTTTTGACGAATGTAAATGAGAAATTTTACCAAGGTCCGTTTTTCAGTAGAATACAAATCTTGCTCAATTTACTTGATTTTTTTCAATCACACCGAAGTTTCTGAAAATTGGTAAAAAATAAATATTGTACCTTAATAAGAAATACGATGACGATACTTTCTTAACCAGCAAGAGAAGCGAGGAACTAAAACGTCTACACCACCGTGGGCAAATCCAATTTTAAACCATCATCTTTTCTTATACGACCCTCTCAGACTTTAAAAACATTTTATTCTCCTCCATTTCCTTTTCAAAACCATCGACTATCTCACCACGCGCACTGCTTACAGTAATGTTCACATGCTCTTTTTCGCGATTTCACAGTGTCGTTAGTTCGACAACCAAAATACGGACGTTTATCGTGAAAAAACAAGGATAAACAAGAACGCTCGTTTTACATCAATTTGACTAATTTTTGAAAAGTATACAAAAGGGATTATGTATTTAAATTTTAATTTCAAACAATTTGTTTGGACAAAAATTTGATTTTCAATCACACTAGCAAACTAGAGATAAGTGTTAGAGGGCGACTAACTGTTAGTGTCATGGCTGACAGTTTAAATTTTCCAATCAATGAAGCATGTTTGTTCCATCATGTCAATAATTAAAAATCGAGTAGAAACCAGTCCGCAAAGAATGTTTCTTATCTTATATTCCATCGAAAGTTAAGGGATATTAGCGATGAAACAGCGTTAGATGTATACAATTTCTACTACTACATTATTCGCCAAATGAATGAAATGGGAACTAAAAGTTTGTGAAATTCGTAGGATTCACCTATCTTTTAATTTTTTACCGCGTAATTTGGATGATCACGAATCATGATTCACAATTTCTTTTCGAAACTAATTTTCATTTACTGGTAGCAGCAATTTCATTGCAATTTACTAAGCAAAAGTATCATCCTTGTTTGAAATCGACTTCTAAACACATTTTGCCTCTTTTCTCCAGGTTATCATCTTCGCTGCTTGCTTGGCTGCCGCCAATGCCGGTGTCATCGCACCAGCATACAGCGCGTACGCCGCCCCCGCCTACGCAGCCCCCTACGCCGCCCCGGCTTACTCCGCCTACGCTGCCGCCCCTGTGGTAGCTAAGGTAGCCGCCCCAGTTGCCTACTCCTCATACGCCGCTCCCGCCTACGCTGCCCCCGCCTACTCCACCTACGCCGCCCACGCTCCCGTCGTCGCTAAGGTAAGATAAACATTCTATGAAGCCTACAGTATGCCGATCAGTGGGTATATCGTAAAAGCTCGGGGTAGTTTGGACAAAGAATTTTCAAAAATGATCGTGCGTTGAATAAATTTAAAGGGGCATTTGTACATAGTGATTTTGCAAGCTTCAGATGCATTTTTCTACAGTGAACAAATACGGGTGGTCTGCTTTTATTCTGGAGGTAAAAATTCTGTCATTTGTGATCAGTTTTACATTAATTTTGATCCATCGTAATGTCAATGACTAAAAAGCGCAAATATTCCATACATCCGTGTGCGATGTTGCAGACATCCCTTATTTTTTAATTATTTACTTATTTATTCTTCTTTGGGAAACTAGTCACCGTATTTTCTTGAAAACTTCTGTAATTTTTCTTCTTTGTAAGCGAAGCATTCTATGAAAGTTTCCAACAATAAACTTGGCTTGCTTATCTTCGAAAAATTAAAACGGGAACGGAAATTTTGAAACATCGCAATCAGATTAAAAACGCAACGAAACGGAAGTCTCCATTTAAAAAACACAAAATCTATATTAATGCTGACAACCCTTTGTTCCAGGTTGCTGCCCCAGTCGCCTACGCCGCTCCCGCTTACTCCGCCTACGCCGCCCCCGCCTACGCCCACGCCCCCGTGGTCGCCAAGGTCGCCGCCCCTGTAGCCTACGCCGCCCCCGCCTACTCCACCTACGCCGCCGCCGCCCCCGTGGTCGCCAAGGTCGCCGCCCCAGTCTACGCCAAGGCCGCCGTCGTCGACGAATACGACGCCAACCCCCAGTACAGCTTCGCCTACGACGTCAACGACTCTCTGACCGGTGACTCCAAGTCCCAGCACGAAACCCGATCCGGCGATGTCGTTCAGGGTAGCTACAGTTTGACCGAGCCCGACGGCAGCAGAAGGACCGTCGACTACACCGCTGACCCACACAACGGTTTCAACGCCGTCGTCCACAAGGACACGCCCGCCGTCCACGCTGCCCCCGCCGTCGTAGCCGCCAAGGTCGCCCCCGTCGCCTACGCCGCCCCCCACTACTGATAACCTTGGAGTTCGGGCCACCCCTGAACTTGAAACGAATCTGGTCAAATCATCTCTCATTGTGTAAATTATTATTAATTTATTCACTGCCATTTCATCGAATAAAAGTTACCAAACCCGAAGTTACTCTTCTTTTTTCAACGTGCTCACAAAAATTGAATAGGTCTCTGTTAGAAGAGCTTATCGACGGTGTAAGTCGACAAACACATAACTCGGTTTGCGACGTCGCAGACTTCCTGTCATACTTTATTCTTTAAACGGAAAACTACTCAACGGCAATTCTTTAAAACTGCCGTGATTTTTCTTGTCTGTGCGAAGAAAATTCTGCATTAACTTCAAGGAATGATGTCAATTCGTTCTCTTTTGAAAAAATAACATAGACGTGGAGATTTTCAGACACTGCAAACGAGTTATGTGATTGCTAACTTACACCGTCGTTATGTCTGTCTGACCAAATTTTACAGGAAATGTAAACAACTGAAAAACTGCTCGTCGAACGAAATTTCTTGACATTCTTTGAGTGTTCAAAGGATGGATCAACATCCGTTTGAAAGTTCTCAAAAATGTTTTATTTCGGTACCTTTTAAGGCTAATTTGAAATGACAGGTCTATGTCTTTTCGAAGGAAATACCGGCACATTTTCAAGCAAAAAGAGTAGATTCAAAGTGAGTTTTGAAAGTCTTATCATTCATTTTAGTTATTCAAGTAGGACGTGATGGTAGACCCTATAGATAAGGGCAAAATTTTAAGACATTGCAGTTTTTTCCCGAATAAAAAACGAAAAGATTCTCAGAAAAATTGCAGGTACCCTTTAAAATGCCAAAAATGAATAAAATTGAAAATTTTGGACTTCCGCTTTCCTACTAGAAATCGATTAAATTCCTAATCACGCAGAAAAAACGGCTCAAGCAGGAACTGACTTTCAGCGGTGAGAGCGCATCGTTGACTTTTGAAGATTAATGTACTTCTTCGCTATCACACGTCTTTCCATTTCACATTCCCCCAGAACTAGACCACCTGTATTTAGGGTACAAATAAATGCCCATTGGATGAAGTTTGAGAAATTTAAATATTTCTTAATGATCTCATATTTTCTTTTTCATGCCGACTTAGCCGTCTTAAATGACATTAATAACTTCGTTTAGATTTATCAGGATAAGATGTTGATTTACATCTGAGTGTCTGGCATCAGTCTCTTTTTCTAATGCGCTTATATCAGTGCTCATTGCTTGGCAATAAACACACGTGTGCTTTGTTTTTCTCCATGCGTTCAGTTTCAGCAAATGATAGTTTCGGCAGGATAAAAAGGCTTTAGTAGCAAAACTGCAGTATAAAGGTTCGTTACGGTGTAAAATTTCATTTGCCATTCTTTGATGTGACAAAGCTCCCCTCAAAAGAACTGAACACATAAAAAGAAGAGCGCAGGGTTGTTGGATGATGTGAACATTTGAAATTAATTGTGGTGGTGCCCCAATTAGTTGTGGTGCGACCCCAATAATTACGTTCCTAATCTAAATGTCGCGATACTACTCAATCTTGAGTTGCGGTGCTACCATAATGGATGGAAAATGTCCATGTCCATATCATTCAGCAAACTGGGGCGGCAATATCACATTTTAGGGAATAACCCCTAACACTTTTTTTCCGACGAAAGTTTCTATTTTTAAAAAAAAGCTTTATATGCCTGCAGAAAAGAGACATGCAATAACGTGATGCTGAGTCACTAGTTCCGAGTTGCAATATACGGATATTGTTTGTTTTATTTCCTGGGTTAAAGTTCAATCCAACGCGTTTGATTCGACTTCAAAAAGGTGATTCTTACTTTAATGGTTTGTTGGTTTTTTAGCTACGTTCAAAGTGATCTTACGACACTGTCAATCATACTAACATGCTGCATGTAGCATGTAACTGCATGTGAATGTATGAGAATTGAAGGACAGAATCTTCATAAAAAATGAAAATTATGCTCATATGCCTTTAGGTATGAGCACAAATCGATCACAAATGTAATGCATAGGAAAAGGAAAGCTGGTTTTCAGCTCATGAGAAAAAACAGAAATATTATTACCCTATTTTTATACCATTTCTAGGAGGAACACATCTATATCCTTCATAGTCAAAGCTAAACAGGAAACATATAACATGAGTATTGAAATAGTGCTTTTAACCGTGCCAGTAGAAAAAAAAACATATTTTCTCCAGGGGTTGGAGTGCAATAATATGTAACAAACAATGCAATTTCTAATTAGGAGGTAAGACAGGTATCATTGTAATAGTTCTATAAGAGATTTCGCTTTTATTTGTTAATTAATACTACAATATTTTCCAGGCGTTATTTAATTTGATCAGTATCCAGTTGACTGATTTTCATGTATGTATATCTACAATGGTTTTCAAACATTTGACCTTTTACCTATTAGGCCATGTATGCACATTTGGAATTCAGAAATCGGTAAGCATCTTTAGTCTAGGTCATTTTAAATCAGATATCTCGGGCATCTTTAGTCAGGTTTAATAGTGTGTGCTTCTCTCCTCCGTCCCCCATAAACTGCTTGCAATGCGTGAAATTTTGAGTCAGAAGCCTAGATGCGATATGAAATTGAAAAACTATTACAAATAAAACATTTTTCCTCTTTAAAAGTAAGGAAAAACAGAGGCTCAAAATTTAATTGTGATTCATTGCAACTTTTCCGGACTGACTAAATCCTCTCTACCACATTTCATTACAACTTCAATTTGGCCTGGATTGTTTGTAAAAATAATCAACTGATTCGAATAAGTTTATTGAAAGTAAAACACAAAGTAATGGAAGACTTTGGTTGATTCTGGGGGTTTTTTTTTCTAAATAATTCATCAAATGTTTGGTTGGTGTTTTATTTCCTTTATTAATCGAAATGAACTCCACGACACAGATCTTTTTATCCGTTTAGTGCACTTAGAATTCATAAATTACTATTGCTCAAAAAAATTGCATGGACGACCCCCTCACCAGAGAATTTGGAATCGGCGCTCATGTCATTGGGAAGGGGGGGGATACGATCAATATTTCCTGTTTTTAATTCATTTGCACCAGACTTCGAATAAATTACAGAGGATTATGACTTGAAAATGCAATGGCACTCCTTCGACTTCCATAGGCAATACTAATCTATTAAAATTTAATTTCCAAATTTTGGCGCTTTGGGCTTTAGAAACAAAGTTTGTTTATTTAAAACTGAGAATAAATGTTCTCGATTTTTTAGGAAGAACGTGTCGTGCTCAAGAGCGAGGCTTATGAAGAGATCGTCAAATCGACAACTTACATCGATAAAACCTGGTTTATTCGATATTTATTTAACCTTCCGCAATATCTTGTGATCACAGGCCCTCAGGGTTTCTCCAAAACGACGAACCTGAACATGCTGAAATCATTCTTTGAACACGAGCTGGATGAAACCCATACTGCAAAGGACCCAAAAACCTCAAAAAAACTACAGACATTCAAAGATAAACAAATATTCACCGATGAGAAATTTTTTTGGCAGCACTTCGGTAAGTACCCCGTCATCCACTTAGACCAAAGCGCTGTAACGACAAAAAACTTCGACGAATTTTTGAAAAGCTTCGTTAAGCACTGCATTGACCCTCTAACGGAGAAATTCGGTTACTTATGGAACAGTACCGACACCAAGATGAATGAAAAAGCCAAAAAAGGTTATCCATGGACCAAAGATGACCTCCAAGAGTTCGGTGCAGAACTTGCAAGTCTTCTACATCATCATCACGGAACCAAACCTATACTTTTGATTGATGAGTACGATTCTCCTTCAGTCGCCGCCCTTCTGGACGCGGGTGTCTCTGAAAAAGACACCGAGGCTATCGTACAATTCTTGAGTAGTTTTGTTGCCGAAATAATACAACATAATCACAACACTTTTCGTGCCGTTTTGACCGGGCGTTTGGCCTTGTCACTGATCCCAAAACTAAAACATCGTAATATTTTCGAGTCCGAAAAATTGTCCTCTGCGTACGGCTTTCTAGAGGCCGACCTCAACGAGCTTGAAAAGCGATTTGCAATGGCATCTCCTGATATGGAGCACACCAGAGCTTACTACAGAGGATATTGCGTGTATGAAAAACCAACAGAACGAATATACAGTTCTCAGTCAATCATTCATTCACTGCTCAGTAGAACAGTAATTGAATATTGGTCGGGGGATGTCGTCGATAAACTGAGGCCTCTCCTAGGGGCTGAACAGTGGGGGCCAGCGCTGGAAATGTGCATCCTGAAACGCTGTAAGATTACAGTGACAGGTCCCATGAAAAAAACCGATATAATGCAACTCAAAAAATCTCTGCTTTTCTCTAAAAAAGCAGACCCTGGCGGACAGTTCTTGTTCCAGATTTTGGTGGAAACTGGTTATTTCACGGTGGAGGAAAAACAAGGGGTGATGCACACTATCTCGGTGCCGAACGTTGAGGTGCAAACGGTTATGATGGATGAGTTCTACCGCGGTAGGTACCTGCACGAGCGGTATGGATTCACCGAGGAAGACGAAAAGCACTATTTGATGTCACTCGATAAGTTGAGCTCGGACGTAACCACATTGCATACCCTCGTGCGGTCTGTCCAGACGTTATTTCGGAATTTGGCACCCAAAGATGAGGTTTTTATGCAGGTTGTATTGCTCCACCCACTTTTGAACTGCTCGGAATTCTCGACTTATCCCTTTGATAGGGATGATACTTCTATCTCAAGTTATGCTATTTTCGCCAAACGGTGGCGGGATCACGCAGGGATCCTTTTTGAAGCGAGGGCTGGGCCCAATCTTGATCAAGGAACGAAAAGGGATGTCTCAAATGTATTCGAACAATTTCCGGACTTGAAGGATACGGTTGATTTACGTTTGGTTGTGAGCGGAAAAAACGAGGTCTATGGTTTTTATAACTATGCAACTTTTGGTGGGAGCTCCGTATGTGAACTTTGGCCACCGCAGAAGAAAGTCACTTGAAGTGATAGTACTGCATCCAGTTGAGGGCGTTGTGTCAAACTTGTGGGAGTGTTGGAGTTTAGTCTTTTAAGATAAAATGTATCTCTAGAAGTAATACGACGCTTAAAAGATGTTTTAGAATATATCTAAAAACGACAAAAATGTTTCAGGCACGTCTCTTTAAAGCAGGGAAAAAATTTAAGCATCTAAAAATGACTTCAATACGTCTAACCTCGTAAGTTATCGTGGCCCTTGTGTGTTTTAAGAATGTTTTGAAGTAATTTTTTTATGATTTTAAAAATATCTTCAAAAAATTGGAGTTTCTTTTCTGTATAAAAATAATTATAAGGTATTTTGTTATGCTTGAAAATTGTTAAAAATGGGGGTTCCCAAAAATCTGTGTCTCGTTAGTTGTCTAATTCCACCACCAATTATTGTAAATGCCTGTAGTTTTCAAATCTAATAATTGCTGCATCTTTAATGATCTTTGGCATAAAATCAGGCAGCATTTACTCAACTAGTCTCAAATAGAGAGTCTCACAACTCAATCAGTTCGCAAGTAAAATTCTCTGAAAAATTGGAGGAAAATTATTCATAGGTACCCTGAAAAATCTGTATTTAATCAGAGAGAATTTTGCAATGCCTGGAGGCTTATACGGCGCTTTTCCTTGGCAATAGTATATCGGTTACGCATTTGTAACTGCAGAGATCGTCAGTATGCACGAAAGTCAAGATCGCAGTCCATTCAGTCCATCGGCATAAAATGAAATATTTAATGGATACGTTTCAGGAGCTGGACATTCTCTTCGTAGGTTACGGGCAAGGTTCATGTTAAAATACTCCCAAGGTGAATGTTGCGTTCTCGGGAGGCAACGCCTGTCAATTATGTACATTCCGGAAGAAAGGAGCCACTGCAGCAACGACCGGGACAAGTTCAAATCGTCGTCCCTCTGGCGTAAGGACGTACCACAATTCCCGTATGAGCCCCAGAAAGCATGAATTTATATTGCTCACGTGGACATCCAGATATGCCCTTACGTCAGAGGGGCTACGAAATGTTAGGGCACAAACTAGTCCGTTTGCACTTTGCAGCGAGCAAGGTTGCGAGTTTGAAACTATACACTCGGCTCATGATAATGAATGAAAACGATTGAGTAAGCATTAACGTTTTTCCTGATCGTTGCACGATCATAAACCTATCGCTAAATGGGATTACCAGTTGGACCGCGTTAGGCAGAAAGGAACCAAGCCACATCAGCAATTACCAAACTTAATTTTTTACACGAAAAAGGTTGTGCGGATTTGAGAAAATTTCAGTTAATTTTCTGCAAAGTAAGAGGCAAATTCCTTAACATTTTCGCAGGAATCCGCCCAAACGTTCTCTTGTAAAAAATGAAATTACCTGCTAAATTTGGCGACAGCATTTGACTTTGTTTCTCTCTGCTAAATGCAGTTCAGTTTTCGGTTCAGATTGGTGGAATATTTGATCGTGTTGTACCTTGTGCTTTCCAACTTGAGATTTGATAAACTTAGTGCATATAATGTACTTTACGTGTCGTTAAACCCGAGTTTATTGGGATATCATGACGCAGTAGTATGTAAAAAGGAGCCGACTTTTTGGCTCATTCTACTGTTCAATTTTTTTCCATCCGAATATGCTCTAATACATGCTATACACATTGAATTTTAAAAAAGACGTTAAGTCTCTCTCCGGAGATTATGGACACTGATTAGCCTTTGCACAGATTTGGCGACTGAGGTGTCGAGCTTTCCTCCATATTGATTGATCTGTAATTTTAATCTATAGAAAAATGATTATCAGAATGATTGCAACATACACCTTGACGATCGATTCTCTAACATGGCTTCAAATGTAAAACTATTGATAGCCAATGCTGCACACTTCGTTTCTGGCTGATTTAACGATAACGCGTCAATGTTCAGGCCCTTGTATTAGAGTTTTAGGATTTTCAGATGTGTAACATACTAGGCACTCCAGATTTACTTGAAAATCTTTGGGTTAACTTACAATTAATTTTTTCTTCTCTACTAAATGGACTACATTTTGCAATTTGGAACTATAAATTCTAGCCCGGTTTAAAAACAACGCATATGCCATTAATTTCCCTATGTACATAAGAGTTTCTCCGAAAGAGCTAGAATTTATAGTTCCAAGTTGCAAAATGCAGTCCAAATGTTAACTTAGCTTTAATCGACAATGTCTAACTTTTCCTGGCTGAACTGCTTTAAAGGTCTTGAAAAAACCTCAGAGGGGAATCTTCAATAAATTTAAGAAATCAAACGATTTTTAGGAGACTCAATAAAACCTTCTTTATTACCCGTCTCCTCCAATTTTATCCCAAAAATCAATACGCGTCTTCAGCACAAGCCAAAGAGATAGCTTCGAGGACTCTCAAGAACATGTTACATGACATTATACAACCGTTCGAATGAATAGACGCAATAGCGAGAGAAGACCTGTGGGACTCTATGTGGATTGGCGTTGCCATGGTGAACGACAATTTCTCATTTGCAGGGCAACATGTATAGTGTGCCGATGAACCTATTTTATCTGCTAATGGGAGTGAGAAAACCGCATCAATAACAATTCCTCGAAGTATTTGATCTAAATTGAGACTTTTACTGAATATGAAATATATTCAGTAAAATATATATTATTTTATTGAATGACACATATATCCTGTGTTGTTTCGCTAATCTGCAAAAATACTTTCATTTCTCCAAAGCTCTGTTAAGCTGATGGCTACAAAAAATATAATACCCCCCCCCCCCCCGTGAAAAAATTGGATTTGCGCCGGGTATACAAGATTCTTGAACACTGGAAAAAAAAACACATTGGATCTAGAGTCCAGATTCTTGAAAACATTGACAAGAAAAAGGACTCTTGATTCAATCAGATTTAAGCTTAAATCAAAAAGAAATCCGATCAAATTAAGAGGCTTGGTTCTTGATTTAAGCTTAAATCTGATTGAATCAAGAGTAATTTTTCTTGTAGATGTATTTAAGCGTCTGGACTCTGGATCCGATGTGTTTTTTTTTCCAGTGTTTCTATGAGTGAAAGAGAGAGAAAAGACCAAAAAACTATTTTAGATTGGTCTCCTGCATGGTGATATTTTTAGATTGAGGAAGTTCTATATCCACAGAATAAGATCAGATAATAATCATTCTCAGCCCGAGCTGCAAACCGCGGATCAGTGGTGGCAGGCTGGAGAAGTAGCCAATATAAATGGTTTACAGCTCTTGACCTAGAAACTATAATGCAAGGTGTGCCTCTGGATAATTATCTCGTGTACATATACGCTACGCGTAAAGGTCAGTTTTTAGAGCTACCATTAAATTGCTGCGTCCAGCTTTGTCCGTGCATCTCAAAATTTCTGGACGAACCGAGTCCAAAAACACTGCCAAGAGTTCATCAAAATTCGCTGGCGTTATTGATGCACTGTAAGGAGGGAACAAAAGAATGGCAGGTGCATTCGAGTTACGTGACCACCTGATCAGTGAAGGTGCGGCGATCTTCTTTCAATAGTTTCTTTGAAAACGCATACATTGAGGAAATGTAACATGAGCGATTTGAAGTTTTAAATTAGCAAAAAAGAAGAACAGACGACACTGTAAGAGAAAAATTACAGTATCCTGTGCCTACTGGAAAAATTAATGCACGTCAACGTAGCAGTATTTGAATGATGTATCCGTCTCTAAAATATAACTATTGTTAGTGTTATTCAGAAAGGCCTCGATAGACGATCAAATTCCCGAACCAATTCCGATCAAAGTAGCATCAAAGTGTCGGGCGTCATCAGTCTTAAACTCATTAATTTGCTTCATTTTAAAATGAAAACTTGGCAGAAATGTTTCCTGTGGCAGGAAATGATGAATGGTGGCACTCCGTTCTGATCTTACTTTGAACAAAAAAGTGCGGCCCGTCAAATTTTGATGGTGGATGGTGATCTCCAGTCATCAGCATGTCTACTTTGATCGGAATATGTGTATAGTGCAATGGTTATTGAAAAGATTATAAGGCTCTACTGGCTTTACTTAAATTTTCATGTCAAAGTTGAGAACTTCATTCACAATATAAGCAAAAGAATCTAAAAATTTCAAGGAGAAATATTCATCGCTTTTCCTCAAAAATAAATATCTTATCGGAGGAAAGTTGATAACATCCAAATGTTCATACGTCTTTTTTCTTTGGTACTGCTAACCGGTGCTCCTTTTGCGGTGGCAGATCCTCGATTATAATCTAAATTATTTTCTCTTAGAATGAATATGCTTTTGCAAAAATCTCTGCGTCAATATAGTAATACAGCAGCCCGAAGGTGAAACTAGAGACAAAGTTCTGGACACCCCTCCCCCATAACGAAAAATCCCCCCTTCCCCCCCACAACGTTATTTTTTGTGATTTCCGACCGAGATTTTGTGTTTAGAATGATCCATCGAAATTGAATCATTGGTCCAGATTTCAGAGATGTTTACAGAAGAGATGGCGTGATGCTTGACCTTTCCAGCGTTCCAATTCAAATTCAATTATTTTTCGAGGATAAATCAGGATACGAAAGAGTGCGGCGCGGGCGTTTCTTGTCATTCAAAGTCGTGGGACAATAGGTGCAAATGCACACAAGCACACAGCCATCATGGAGGCGCAGTCGATTCGATTCTATGGGGAGACTCACAATCAGAGTTGCCGCTTTACCCGGCACACATGGTGTTCGCAGTTTTGCACACTTTCTTCTCTTCTATCTCCATAAGTACATACCGTAGGAGGGCCGTTGGGGAATAGTTCGGGTAGTATGCTGCCGTACTAAAAAAAAGGCCGTATAAGCCTTCAAACGTTGCCCAATCTCCTTCGGCAAATCACGAATTTTCCGGAAAATTTTAAAATATTTTTCTTCCCATTTTTTTAATAGTATTGTGTTTGTAATTTGATGTAAAGTTCCAAAAATGTCCAGGAACAATACTTATCGTGTTTTTCAAAGATACATTTTTCTGAGAGTCTTTGGAAAAAATTGGCACCATTTGCATGCTCATACGGCGCGGCGTTCCTCCTTCGCGCGACAGTATGCCACAGCGAACGTTTGGATCATATGACCAAAATTTGTTTTCAATGATTGTGATTTTAACTACAGTACCTTTATAGGGACAGTGGGGAAAACCCGATTTATGTCACCCTTAAGGCTCAAAAAGGCGACAACTTGTAAAACAAAAATCGTGTAAAAAGAAAAGTGCCGCTACCAACCTATGCATTTGAAATATTAATCAATACGGCTGACAGCGCATTGTAAACAAGCGTCTGTAAGGATTAAGATTTTGAAACTGAGAAAATTTATGCGAAATTAAAGTTTTATACGTGCTCTTATGATTTTTGATCGGTTATGAAACGACGGGTAGTAAGAATTATGAAAATTAGTATCACTGGATAAGTCGAGTTCATAGGTTGGCGGCCCTTCTGGGCCCCAAGAGGTACATGCGCTGATCAAACTTAACCTCAAAATTTTCGAGTTGTCCATACTCTCTTTATAAAGGTACTCTA